TACAGATTTACATTTTTACGTTTTAAACGATGACAGTACAGTACAAAATATGATATATACAGGACGAATAATAACAAACATATATACTATATATACATTTTTTTTTATTGTTACTATTTGATGTGGAACTGTACAGAATAATCCGTCCTCATCGAAGGCTAATTAGTCTCCGTGTGGAAGTACTCAAATCGATGGGAATTGGGACCTTCGTTTTCTGATTATTCTCCAATTATTGATTAGGTAATCCAATAGTGTAAAGAAAAGTCATGATTACTTGTGGCTTGTTTGTATATAACGAAAAGGCCTGAATACTACTAACTTAAGTACTAGTGATGCTAATTCCATCACGGACTGTCGAAACAAAACAAACCAAGGTTCAATAAATGTGACTGGTTTGATACTATTTCACCAAAAGAAAAGCGAATTAAATTGATAATTGTATAGTACATGAAAGTAATGTGCTAAAAAATCAATAATTCTTTATCTTTGTCTTTATGCATCGTCGGTTGTAGAATATGTATTTAAATTTATTTATTCTTATATTTTTCTAGGGATTTTCATTAAAATTCCTTTCTCTTTGTCTTATATCGTTCCTCGTGCCGCTACTAACATGGAAGGATCGACTTTATAAAGGAAACCTATTTTTGGATTAATCCTAAATAACATTATGAATATACATATGTATATCGTTTTCTTGTAGGATTTTTTTCAGATTAAAAGAAAAATAATAATCATTCTGTGAAAATATAAAAATCAAACGAAAATTAATATGGATCGTCCCCAACATTATCTGTTGATGTATGGGCTTAGGGGACATGAATTATCAAAGGGTTTTTTGGGGAATAAATTCTTGGACTGTCCATCGGTGTCATAGGGCCAAAACTTAAATTAATGTCGTATAGTATTTTTGATCAAATGGAGTTAATGCGTTGTGGAATAAAAAAAGACTTTAATGTTAACTTGTTTTGAAAATGATTTAACACACTTATAATATTATATGATACATCGCTTTTACAATATATGTATCTCAATGTCAAGGTGATATTAATCATTTGGTTCATCATATAACTATATTATTTAATATTGGTTATCCTAATTCTCCAATTTCTTATTCTCTTAAATTTAATTTCTTAGGCAACCAGCCACCACCAAGACCGTAAAGTAAAGAAATGTTCGGTAAATTTCCAAACTCCAATTTCAAAGAAGACAAACAACACAAGAATGACGACGAGACTTAAGTTTCGATTTTAATTTCTGTTATAGTACTCTCTATTTTTCTCGATTATATATTATGCCATTTTAACAAGATGACAAGTAGCTAGCTAGCTGTTGATTTTTGTTTTTAATAAACATCAGTACCTTTTTTATTATAAAAAAACAGTATTTTTGTTTTCTAAAATATTTTCATGAATAAATTATCAACAATAAAAAAAAAAATGCAACTTTCAGTTTCAACCCAAGTGTCATTTTCACATGTTAATCTGAACACAAATAATCGAATATTTTCATACAT